TTTTTGTATAGTAAAAAGTTTTGACAGTCCATAATTTTTCCGGCATTTTATATTTTTTAGTCTTTTTATTTTTATTTGACGAAGAATATTGCCAAGTCTAGGAATCGTATGAATTTCCAATACTTTTTTGTTTTGTCTATTCCTGTCTTTTCCAATTTGACATGGCTTGAAAATTAGTTAAAAACTAAAATTAATGATTTTAATCACACATTTCATGGAATTCACAAATTATATCAATTTTTCAACAATACATTTCATTAACTTTTATCAAAATTTATTAAAAAAACTGACTTTTAACTACACCGACTAATCAGGGGAGTCTCTCTTCTACTTTTCATACCTATTCTCAATTAGTTGCTAATTTTCCATGAAAATTGTCAATTCCCATCGTGCGTTATTAACATTGGCCCATGTAAACATTGACCCTTTTTGTAAGTTGGCTATTTGAATACTTCAGACAGTTTCTATATAATTTCTTTTGGGTTGAAAAATCACGATTGTGACAGTGATATTAAATATCTATGCTAAACCCAAAAACGTGCCTTTGGGTTTATATTTTTCTTCTTAATTATTTATTATCAGTTGTTTTTTGCCGAAAATATATAATTCAGTTGTTCCAACAAAATCATTTATGTTTTCATTATCGTTCGACATCATTCTAAATAAACATTCATTCATATATTCATCCGCATATTCTATGAAACACAACACTTTTTCTGATGTTTAATCACGCATTCTGGGAAAAAAAATTCAAATTTTACTTAGAAAAACTTGTCAAACAACCTCTAAAATGCAGAGGACGTATCGCCTTAGACATTCATGCCCAGCTCAAGTATAATTAGTTAATTACTTGTTCGCGTCCAAATGATTTGTGCACAATGAGGGAATTGCAAAAATTTCACAAAATATGAAAAACTTTGGGGAAAAAATATGATTTAGCATTGTTATATATTCTATAACATTAATACATACATACCCTTTTTTGCAACAAAATTTATTGTTCCTATTTCCCCCCATTATATTGCGTTCTTCTTTGAAACTATGACAATCTTTTTCATATCCTTCTGAGAATCTCTTAAGTAAAAAATTCTGTTCTTTCTCCACCTGATGAAGGTTTAGTGCTTCAAGATTTCTGGATTACATTCAGAAGTTATTAAAATCAAACGATTCCCAATCCCACGAGCCAGGTTCATTTTCTTCAACATCCATATCCCAGTTGTTATTGGCATTTTCCACAGATTGACAAGGATTAGCAATATGGTGATCTTCTGAGGAGGAATTACCAAATAAGAAATTACTTGCATCTGCTACTGGTTGGTTTTGTTGAGAAGTTGTTGCCTCATTTTGGTGGTGCACCGCCACTTCTTCTGGTGGTGGCCTTCTGTCAAAGGCCCTTATGCCTGTTGTTTTTCTATACATTCGGCATAAACTGAGTTCTTCCCATATCTGCATGAAATTAGAGGAATCAAATTCTTTTAAGGCGAGTTGAGGACGTAGGTTTGGTGGAGATGAAGCACTAAATTAGAGTTCATACCGACATCTTTAATAAAAGAGAGATTTAGAGCTACAAAAATAATTATGAAATATGATCTAGTTAATTTTAGGGTTTTGGCCATTTTCATTTCTTTTTGACAATTCTGACAATAAAATGCTTTACCCTTTACTCCTCTTACAAAAAAATTTCAGCTTGATGAGTAAAATTAAAAATTTTAAGACCTGTGGATTTGCAGCAGTTGAAGAGGAAGCTTCAGAAAATTCAGTTGCTTTGTACTCATTCATCTTCCACACAGTCTTTCTTCCATGTGGAGCTCTTCCTGCATAAAAAACCATTGATCTCTTCTTACCAATTATGCGATCTTGCGAAGAATATACAAAACTAGGAGAGCCAGTTGCTTTCCAATATCCTTGTGCTGTGAGCCGGTTTGGTCTTCCTCCACGGGCTTCCCTTTCTTGTCTTGGAACGAAGAAAAACCATTGCTCCATATCTCCATGGCAATACTCTCCTGCAAATTCTGGGTTTTTCCCCAAAACATCAATTTAAGGCACTAATTACAAGAGATCAAAACAACCTAATGCTGAATATACATATCCTAGAATTCAAGAAAATTTTGGATGACCTTGATTTAGATTTTGTTTATATACATAGCCTTAAAAACTAAAATACATGATTAAGAAATTTGAATACTGATGATCCTTGTAATATGCTAGGGTAACAATAGTGCGAAGAAGTTCACAGAATGGAAAAGATCTTAACCATCGCTTAAATTAATTAACCTTTTGTCACAACAGAAAAAAAATTTGAAAAAGAAGAATTTATTTACGTGGAAGATCCCATGGATTGTAATCATAAATATTAACTGATGGTATAACCCTATCGATGTCGAGTACTCTTGTCCCTTGGAGCTTATTCCGCAGATAAAAAGAAATCAGCTCTTCCTCTGTAGGGTAGAACCTAAAACCGGGTGTCACCTGATCTTCCATTTCTAGTTGCACACACACACACGCACGCACTCTCTCTCTCTCTCTCT